TCTCCTTTCCTCTAATTCTCCACTGCCTCCAATTTTGAACAGGTTATCTAAGGACCAATTCTCAAACACTGAGCTACAGCTATACACATAAAAATATAGATACTTAAGAGTTCTCTTCTGGAAAGAAAGACTTTTTGCTTTCAGTTTAAAAAGGTACTGCTGCCTACAGAAAGTTTGCTAAAAGTTCTACCTCAGTTTGTTAAAAAGAGGAAAACATCCAACTGTAGTCATTACACAGACCAAGTCTTCAGATCATAAAATCACAGACAGCTCAAATGATTCAGCACAGCTCTACTGATTTTCACCAAGATCTGATCAATAGTCCTTAAAACACATAATGATGGTAAATACACTACCGCCTTTTTTTTTTTCCTTATGACTTATTTTGTTCCTGAGATATCAATCCAGTGCTGTGCCTTCCACTTCAAGGATGTAACATGCATTACTTCAAACCATCAGAAGAAGCTATTTTACGATGTGATTGAACTGCGCTGATTTTGTGCGGCTCTTCAGTAATTATATTAGCAACTGTAGGCAGGCATTACACCCGACACTGACAGCACATCACACGTCACAGTGTCAGCTGGCTTAAAGAAAACTAATGAAGCACAAGGTAGAAAGAAGTAAAGGAGAATTCTGATGTGGCAAGAAACACCTATGCTTAGTCAGTGGTGTGTAGATACACGTGGCCTGCGTTGTGAAGTGATAGTTGCAAACCAGGAAAAACATGCATCTTCTTCTTTTGGATTAGCGATTACTATACGGCAATCTTTACTTAGCAATCAGCACTCCACACTGTGTATGAAAAACACAGATATGTCAAAATTTTAGCCTATGGTGGGCAATACAGGCATGAGCGTTATAAGCTGTTTCCCAAATATGAAAATTTCAATTTAAAAAAAAGAAACTGGACAATTAAATTTAATGGAAGTTAGCACACAAGCAGCTTTACTGAATTATGGTACATAGTTTTTTTTTGTTGTTGTGTCTATGCAGAATCAATACAATAAAGCTTTATAATGTCTAAAGCACTGTTCAATGTAACAGCGTAGAACTTGAACCAATGAACTATCCATTGCAAATGAAATCAGTAGAATTAGAGAAGAGCAACCACTAAGGAACACAACAGGTCATTCAGTGGAAGCAGAGTTTTTTAATGGTCTAAAGAAATATATATTTTGAAATATGTCATTTGATCATCATTAGAACAGAAATTACAAATGAGAACGTTTGTCCTGCAAGAAATATTTAAAGTAAAAGTGTGATTTTTAACCCATTTTTACTGTAACGTTCTTAACCTTTAATGCCACAGGAAGGTTCTCACCATGCTGCCAGCTTTCCTTTTGTTCTGTACACAGAGTTTTCCTAATACCCACAAATATCTACATTGCCCAGACATTCTAACATTTCTAGTACAGTTATTGTTACACATTATGACCCATCATCACAGTTATTTCAACATTGATTCACTAGTCATTCATAGCACAATGCACAGAAATATCATTTAGATTTTTCCCCCAATGCATATTTAACTACACACAAAATTTTTTGATTTGTATGTCAAGCATATTTTTCAGCAAATCCAGACAGCCTTCCTTTTACATAATCATTAATAAGCAGAATAGCTTAACCACCCAATCGCTAAGATTCTTTCCGCTTCCAAACTTGAATGCTTGACATTGTGCACCAGCCTCACATTAGTGGAATCAGAGCCCCTCAACACCAAAGCTGCTGTTTGGACTTGCTCAAAACTTCTGTTCTCTACTTCAAATCATCAAGTGGGCAGTCACCTTTGGGAGTCTAGCTATTTTATTATTCTGCTATGAAGAGCAAGGTATTCTGTACAGATAAAGACTTTGCTTAAGTTTACATTAAAGAAACCAGACAGCTCTGCTCTGTGACCAGATCAAATGAAGCCAGCTGTGTGTTTGTATCTTAAAAAAACACAAATAAATGAATAAATAAAAATGCACACACCTTTTCTGCATGGTATGGAATATGAATGTTTGGCAAGAAATTTAAACTTTAAACTGCACCTCTGATCATCTGATCTATAAACTATGTCCATCTAAATACCATGGGCTATACAGAAGGTCCATTACACACACTATATTCCAGCATAAATATACAAAAGCCAATACCGATCCTTACAAGAGATCAAAGCGTCAGAAAAATATGAAAGCCAAAACTTCAAAACAGTTTCAAATGAAGAATTAAAAATGACTTAGTGATCGCATACATTTCGCATACAGAATCACAGACTGGCCGACGTTGAGGTTGGAAGGTACCTCTGGAAATCATCTAGTTCAATCCCTTGCTCAGGATTAGGCCAGCAGACAGGAGGAGTATGGCAGCAGACAGGAGGAGTATGGCAGCAGACAGGAGGAGTATGGCAGCAGACAGGAGGAGTATGGCAGCAGACAGGAGGAGTATGGCAGCAGACAGGAGGAGTATGGCAGCAGACAGGAGGAGTATGGCAGCAGACAGGAGCATTTTTTATAGGTTGAGAGTAGACAATTCAAATTTGAATTAGAAGAAAAGAATCAATCCCAAAAGAATCAAGTAATTAGGAAACAGTAACGGGTACTACGGCTGATATTTTCTAGGAGAAAGACTGCCCCAACTCAAAATTTACAACTCTTGTAGATTGTCAAGGGCATCCTTAAGAAAATACACTGCAGTAGGTCAGTTTAGAGGTCATAAAGGCAGAGTTCACACAAAGCTTTTGTTTCAAAAGTCTTTAGAAATAAATATGAAACGTATACAAGGCAAACAGCCAAAAGCTGATGCCAGGCTAAATTCAGTAACAGAAATAGTATATTTCTCACATAATTGACATATTTCACTATAACAGATGCCATAAAGAATGCAATCAAACTGATTTCTGAGCCACTATCTTAGCCAACTTCATCGGCATGAAAAGATATTTAAATTAAGCATTCTAGATGTATGACATTACTTATGCCTTCCCAAAAGAAACACACGCAACCTCAAAAAACAAGGAGGTTACAACCAAGTGAAGCAGTATATTGCAGTATACTGTATCAGAGCCAAAAGTTTATCACATGACACAAGAAAGTTCCAGTCTTTCACACAAGCCACTCTGCGTCCTTTCTCACCAGTGTGAAGCTAAATCTACTTTTATAAAACAAGTGAAATTAAAAGGCAGTACGTTCTGTTGAAATAGCCCATTTCTGGGAAAAGATAGACTAGATTCATCAGACCGCAAGCTACCTTTAAGAGTTTCCCTAGTTTCAGACTAAACAAGAAATATACTGGTAGTTTCAAATATAGGGTGTATTTGATTGACAAACATGAAACAGTTGAGATGAAGCGCAGAGAAAATAATTGCCACCAGAAGAACGAATTAGAAGAGTCCAGTCTTTTGACAGAGTAGCTTAAGCAGTGAATATTGCTGTTTATTATTTGAAATGAGTCACTGACTTGATTTTCTCATAACATTGTCAAATTAATGGTGCCACGGTATTAAAAATTATACAGGGAACGTGCCGATCCTACTCCTTAAGTAGGAGATGACAGAAAGATGACAGAATGACAGAGATGCAGAGATGACAGAAAGAAAAGCTCAAGAGAAGGACTACCTTTTCATCAGACAACTAAATTATATCATACCTACTCTAAAAGTTCTTTAAAGTATAAATCTGTAATGGAACTGCATTTGTCAATGGTTCAAAATGAAGGGGAAAAAAAGATGGGTCAGTGTCATTGTGCCATCCATTCTTCAGTAGCAAGTGAAAGTTGCAAAGGATTTTCCCTTCTTCAGATATCTCTTTCTAGCATTATTGGAAAGCTCTTCTTGTTTAAATGAATTTCCTTTTAATCTCCTCCTCGGACTGCTGGATAGATGCAGCCTCTTAAAAAATTGAGGATATCAGTGTAATTGTAAATTGATCTGTTTCTGTGGCAGAAGGCTGAGGCCTTCCATCCAGGAAAAAGACATCTCAAAGTTGTTTTTCAGACAAATGATTAATTTGCACTCTCTCTTACTACATTATCCTATTAATAGGAAAGCAGTTTTTTAAAAAAAAATCGGCTGCTTTTTGGATCACTTATGCCTGGCAACGTACAGGGAAAAAAACAACTGCCAAAGACATCGTAAAGTATTTACTGCCTTGAAATTTTTAAGTTTCCTAAAGGAGACTTTAAATCTACATAAATGGGAACTAACATTATAGAAGAGTACTAAAATGTACTTATTCATAATATATTGACTTAATTCAGAATTTAACAGATACATGAAAATTCCCTACTGATTTTTAAAGCAAAGTTAAGGCTGGAACACTGTTATGACTATGCAATCTTGAAAACGGACACGTTAACTCATTAGTACCAAAGCAGAAGAAATTATCTATCTAGTCTGGTGCTGAATCTACATAGCCTATTTGCCTTTGGCTCTTCAGTTATGAGATCTGGCATCACATGGATTATTTCACATAATCCATCATTAGCTTTCACATGTCCTATATACTGTGCAACAAACCTAAATTTAACAAACCCAACTCTCCATCAATTACTACACTTAATATATTACATGTCAGCATAGAGCATAAAGATTAGGCATGCTGAATTACATCTTTCTTTGTGAAATGTCAATGTTTTTAGAGCGCTGTTAACACTGCTGACTCCTACTGAAACAAATTTTCCTTTCCATTGTGAACAGGCACTACTGCCCTGACCTTTGCTATTTACAGACGACACAGAGGTACTAAACAAAATGAAAAACTTCAAAAGACCTAGGGAAAACAAAACAAAACAAAACACGGTAACGGTGGCAATTGTTTTTTAATTGCAATGCTAGCTTGGCTGAGGGAATCCTGCAAGATGACCCAATTTGTTTTCCTAGAATCCCACAAGTAAGCGTTACTAATTTAGATTTTACTTTCTCTCTCTCTCCATGTTCATAAAGCACACAAACAGATTATTACTCACATCTAAAAATAAATAAGATGCAGCTATGTTAACGCGGCATCCTTACTTACCGGTCTTCCACAAATACACGGACGAAGTTGCAAATTCACTTTGTGCATTAGCGTCCCAGATCCCCACCAGCAGAACCACCAGAACTGCCACGCACCGGCCGGGCACAGCAGAAACCCCTGGACCACGGCATGAGGCAGCGCGCCCCGCGCTCAACCCCATGCCTCCAGAAGGCTGCTTCAGTATCAAACCCTGCAGCACGACGGTCAAACCTCCTTCAAATAATATCCCCCTCTTCAGAATTTCTTCACAGGGAGAAGCGGACTGCAAACCTCTCTCCTGCTATTGTGCATGGCAGTTTAAAAGGAAAAAACTGTTTAACACCAGGGAACAATAGAGTCCTTGCTTGCTCTTGCTGCAGCGGCTGCTGCAGCCAGTATGGTTGCTGCTCCGCGCTCTTCCATTCAGCGGTTAGTAGCAGTTTTCCATCAGCTAAAAGAGAGACAGCTGTCCGCAGGGGGCTCCAGCTGACTGAGCAGGTTATCGGCTCTGCGAGGCAGCAGAAGGCATTTACACCAGCTGGAGAGAGTGAGAGACAGAGAAACAGCAATGAGGAGAAACACAAATAACCAAATGCTGTAGTCACGCTGCAGAGAGCGACTGCAAAAGACTGGTTGCAACACATCTCTCCCTGGAATATTGCAAATGAGACATACTAAGAAAAACAGAAGAAATCATTATCAGTCCTGCTTTAGAAACACAAGCCATACAGCCAGAACAGATCTTTATATATCCATAGCAATATATTTTAGAAAAGAGAGCATCAGACACTTGTTCTGTTAGTGGTGTGTATGCTGCATTAACTATTTTATAAACAAAATGTGAGTGATGACATATGCTATAGATTACAGATATGACTATCTCATAAAGTGAAACTGAAGGGAAAGAAGGAAAAAAAGAAGAAAAAACCTACTTTCTCTGAATTTTAGTCGAACCCATTTCAGGTAATAACACATTGCTCTCTGCTGTGAGGATGGATGAATATCCATATATGTATATGGGAATGTGCACATACATGTAAGTATACCAGCTCCATGGCAGATGAACTCTGCTTCTAATATGTAACACAAAATAACATCCCTTCCTATCCAGAAAGTATGCACACATATATACATGCATAAATGTCAGCTGTGTAATTTAAGATAATGTGAAGATCAAGTCACCAATCATTTTTAAAACATACACTGAGTTTTACATATAAAAGTACTTAGGATGTATCAGGCTGTCACGATGATACAAAAATGTGGAAAGAGACAAAGCTTTTTTAATTAGGATGTTTATCTCTCTCACCCACCACCCAGTGAAGAGATGCAATAAAAAGCGCAAGGATCAGGTTTCAAACACCTTTAGACTGGGAAGCAAATCAGAAATCATCAAGAAAACTACTACCATATTCAAAAAAGTTTCATTAAAAAAATGCAAACAACTACAAAGCACGTTGTAGGAACACAGGAACGAGAGTTTTAAAATGATGGAGCTATTGTTGTTTAAAGAAGAAACCTTCAGTCAACCTCTCTTGGGACGCCTGTCATTTTGCACAACCCTCCCAGACTCAGCCTTTTCACATGCATTAGATTAAAATCAGCTGTGATCAAGTAATTCCCAAGTCCTTGCCTGTTTAAATATTCTGACATCAGAGCAAATTAGCAATGTTGAAGGTTGCAAATTCGTCTTTGTTTACTTTCCACTCTGTTACGCCTCTAAGAGGGAATTAAAGGCTCAGGAAGCTCTAGCACTGTGAGGCTGTGATTAAGAGAGATAAGCAAGTGTGGATTACTGTTCCTCAGCTGTTGAAAAACAGGCAACAATCAGGAGATTATAGGTTGATAAGGGATACATAGAAAGCCACGATCTTAACAAATTTATAGCATCCTGATTCAAAACTTGTATCTCCAGTTAAAGCACTTCTGGAAATACATTTCATTCACCTCTACTTCATCATTTTATATTCACTTTATGAAGCAGACAAACCCACCCAACCTGTGTTTTGTGGACAGAATACTGCTTTACAACAAAAGGCCCTCTGAGTTTATAGTGCAGTGCAGTTGCACAGGTAAATTTGGGATTAAGAATGAACAAGTCATCTTCATATTATTTTAGATGTTAAATAAAGGGATATGAGAACACTTAGCATAATAAAAATAACCCCAGCTGCATAATTTATGAAAAGTAAGACTAAAAATTTAAGGAGTGTAAAAGAAAATTTCTAAACTCATCAGGAAATCCATAGCAATAGTTTTATTGACTTGCACGGCTGAAGTAAAAACGCATACAACTTATGAAGTCCTTGATAAAAATAAGAATAAAACTATTAGAGCTATGCACCAGGGGAAAAGTCAAGTTTACAGGGCGGCGAGGATAGAAGGCACCCCTTTCAGAGTCGTTAAATACGATGGAGTCTACCTGGAATTTTTACGAATCTAGCAAGAAGGACTCTAAAAATATTTTGTACGTGACCCTAGGAAATAGATCATCTGTGTAGCTGACACAGAGGATCAAAGGATTTTCAGTAGAATAACAAAGCACTGTCATGAAAGGGGGTGTGCACATAGACATCAACATGCAAATCTTTTCTTATATTTATACCACTATATGACCATATACTTTTAAAAGTTCATTAAAATATACAGATTATTAAAACTCATATTTACATCCTGCTCTTTATGGTTATACTTTTTCCTGAGAAAAAAATAAAAAAAGTAGAAAATATTAAAGAATAATTTCATCTCCACTTTCTTGGTGACAAGCTATGATGTTTTTAAAGTTATTCAAAAATATGTCATAAAGACAGAATGGAGGGGTAACTGGGAATATCAGTTGTGCAAATAAATTTGTTTGTCTGGAAAAACAATAAAGATTCCTGAAAAGCTATCTTTGGTAAACGTTTAATGCCGAACTACATCTATTTTGCAGTCAAGATACTCATTCTATTTTAATCAGGACAGGAAAAGGCCAGGGAAAATACAGGCCAAAAAGCAGGCTGCTAGTGACAGGACACAGAGACACCCACTAACATATCTGCAGAAGCTGGACTTCAGCCATGAGAGACAATATATTCTGACTGCAAGCTTCAGCCCACTACGAACATATGAACATACCTAATGCAGAGAGCTGCTGATAACTTTTTCCACACCACTGTATCCAATATGCTCTTACCCTCTTCCTATTTACTACAGTGAGTGAGAGACGTCCCTCCTATTTAATGGTGCAGTCACTGTTCCCAGCCCAAACTGACATCTCTATTCTAATACATACCTAAGGACCATAATTTATCAGTTAGCACAGCAGCATATGGTTTACATGTTCCAAAATAAATGTGTAAATACTTTCAGAAGCTCTTGACAAAATACAGAAATAAATTAACCTCCATATCAATAATATAGCTTTGGCAGTACTGTATCTAAGAGCACCAACATATGGGTCTCAATAGATTTATATTCAGGCACATTTGTTCATTTGAGGCATAGCAGTTATGTGGACTACGTAAACTACTCTCTAACTCTAAAAGTTAGCATCTTTTTGTTTTCTAGAATAAAATATGACTAATTTCGAAAATTTTATGAGTACAATAACCATAAAAGATTGGAATTATTTTGTTCATGCTTCCTAGCATTAAACAGTTAGAGGATCACCAAACAAGCGTACAGCAACTGTTAGGTAGCAAATGGAGAAATGAGAACACAATACAAATTTCTTAGCCTCTGGGTATGAAACGCTGCCTGCCACACAGAATCATCCTGCAAGTACTAGTGTATTCCTGTGCTAGTATGCAGTCCTATGCTAGCATCTCTTTCTGTTTATGAAGTGTTATGAAAAAAAGCTTCAGGATCATCTTATCTTCTGAAGATGTTGTATTTCTATACACAGTAAAGTCAAAGTGTGTACAGACAGCAGAGCATCCTGCTGTGTAACACATCAGTTTTTAGGGTCAACAATACTCAATGAAGAGGTACATCCAGCATCACTTTTGTCCACCTTTAATTTCGCAGCCGCTGGTTACATCTGGAAATTTTAGAAAAAGCTCCAATCCATTTTTCTAGATCTACAGAAGATGCTTTATAAACTCTGTGATGGTACCCCACTAAACCATTTGTGCTGTGTATAAGAATACTAGAAAACACACCCAAATAGTATTCAAAGCATTTATAGCAATTGGTATTCAAAGCCCTGGACATCTCTCATAAGCCAAACTCTCATCATTTTAATTTATCTCCAAGAAGACTTTTCTATTTCACTTAGGCATGAAAAGGACAAGTGCTGCCAATGACTAGTCAGCTCTCTCTCTGGAAAGAGCTCTAGAGCTGTAGTGAGTTTCTAGAGCCAATACTCATTAGATTATATGGTACTGTACATTTCTAAAAAGCACTGCAAATTTTTAAAGTGATTATCAGTTCCTCTTCTTAATGAGATTATTATTATTTGCATCTCCCAAAAACAGACTCTCTTTTTTCCTTCCGATTTCATTGTGCTATGATCCTTCTTTGCCAGAAAGAGTCTGTATGGCTGCTTTTCTGTATTCATATTATTCTGAAACACAAAATGGGGATTTATTTACCATTTAAGTTTCTGAACTATGGATGTTCTTCAAATGCTGAATGATGGGGTAGAGTTTTTACTTCATGAGGATTCTTAAGCAAAGAACAAGGTGTAAATTCACCACCTCAGAAGGAGAACATCCTTTTCCCCTTTCACCTCCTTGACATACGGCATAATAGGCAGCCATAACATCCTGATCTGGTTCAGTTAGCAAGCTAAGATGCCCTTGAATACATCCACTATAGGGGATGCAGTGCCAAGGTTGCACTCCTAATTTTTAGAAGAGGTAAGTATTAGGTGGGGCGTGTTCACTCATCTTTGTGTTGCAGGATCCAAGACCCTATTAATCCACAGAGCAGCTCAAAGGAGTTTTGTTCTCCCTGGTCCCTTCCGTAAATTCACAGGCCAAAATTTCTCTTCGTTTTGTGAGAGCCTAATTCTCTGGTAGATATTTTAATATATTTCCATCTATGGTAAAAGGATTCTGCTGAGATGGAACCTGTAACTTCAGGTTGGAATAAGGTGTACAGGCTTCTTTCAGGGTTTGCTGTAGAGTTTTGAGCCCACCTCCCCACATTCAGGAGGGCTGCCTGTTACTTTTCTTTGTACACATGCTAGGGAACCTAGTCAGGGAAGTCACAA